AAAAAAAAAAAAAAAAAACAAGAGAGAGAGAAAGATGAGAGAAAACAAGATAGAAAATGAATGACCACTGTCAAAAAATGAAGACAAAAGAAATCAGCCTTTAAGATCAGACAGACCAGGGAACAGATGAATCAGCTCTGCCCCTCCAGGCCAGTGAACTTCAGTGTGTCACTCTACTCTCTGAGGCTGTTTCCTTTTCTGGAAAATGGCAATCATCATCATCCCTCCCCTGCAAGAACTGGAAAGCATCTATCACAGGGTCTAGTGCCACCTGGATTTTGATAAATGATAATTATCCGTATTCACTACTGTAAAGTTGATGAGAGTAATACATTAATAGTTAGGGGGTGGGGGGCAAAAAAAAAGGCGAATCATTTCACAGTGCCTTTGCCGAGTCGCTGCTAGGTTTGCTTGGTTCTTTGGGGGCAATTTCGCCTATCTGTGATCAGTGACTTTTCAGGGCCCCAGAGGTACCCATCCAAAACCCCAGCCCCAGGAAGCTGGGTGGGAAAAGCAGTGCACAGGTCTTCCTGTGATGGGCCTCTCCTCTTTCTGCCCTTAGTGGGACGGTCAGCCACCCACGCCCTGGTCCAGGCCCAGCTGATCTGCTCAGGAGCCCGGCGGGGCATGCACGCTTTTATTGTGCCCATCCGGAGTCTTCAGGACCACACTCCGCTGCCAGGTAAGCCCATAGTGCTCCCTCAATGACTCCTGCCAGGAGGAGACCCCCTGTGGCCTCCCTGGACTGGGGCCCCAGAGGGCCACAGGAGAAGCTGGGACATGTCTCCCTTGGGCAGGGAGGGGTCCAGTTGGACAGACTTGGTGCTAACTGGCTAGGTGACCTTGAGCATCTGATTCAGCATCTGTCTGACCTCAGCTTGTTCACCTGCAAAATAGGTACAATAACCCCAGTGTCACAGGCTGCTGTGAGCTGGAATGTGTATGTGATACCTGGCACATAGCAAGCACTCCCTCAACTGATAGGTGTCTTCATCTCCATCTCCTTCAAGGAATCACCGTTGGGGACATCGGGCCCAAGATGGACTTTGATCAAACGGACAATGGCTTTCTGCAGCTGAACCATGTGCGGGTCCCCAGGGAGAACATGCTGAGTCGCTTTGCACAGGTTAGGGGCTTGGGAAGGCCGGGGATTTGTACTTCCTGGAGAGGGGACCTGCACTTTGTGCAGGCTGGGTATAGGTCCTCCACAGAGCTGAGTTTGGGCCACATAACCCCCTCCCCCAAGAGAGGCTCTGACCTCCCACAGACGGGTGAAACCCCAGCTCAGGAGCAGTATGATCTTGGCCACAGAGCCTCAGACTTCTCATGCAGAAATGCTCATCACATGGGCTGACGGAGCAATCACGGCGTTGGGTGGCAGCCCCAGGAGAGGACAGAGCTGAGGTGATCTGCATATTTACCCAGAGTGAGGCCTGAACACACACCAGCCAGAGTGCCAGCAGGAGCTCTGAAGGCCCCAATTCTGCCAGGCATCACCCTTTTTGTTACGGGTTGTGGGGAGGTGCAGCGTGTCCCAGGAGAGGCGCTGTGAACCAGGGCACTTGGGGAAGTGGCCTGGTATTTGAACATTCCAACTCCACATGAGCAGACTGAGGGTGAGACACCCTCCATGTGTGGAGCCCCACAGCTCTGGGAAGTGGGAGGAATCCTGGGGAGCCTGGGCTCAGACCCTGTGCCCATCCTTGTTCCAACAGGTCTTGCCAGATGGCACCTACGTCAAACTCGGAACAGCACAGAGCAACTACCTTCCCATGGTGGTGGTGCGGGTGGAGCTGCTGCTGGGGGAGATCCTCCCTCTACTGCAGAAGGCCTGTGTCATCGCCATGCGCTACTCGGTTATCCGCCGCCAATCCCAGCTCCGGCCCAGGCAAGGGGTGCCCAATGACTGACCACCGCAGACATGCCACCTCCCAGTCCCACAGTGCCTTCCCCTGACCCCACCCTCCTGCCAGAGCCAGCGTGCTGGAGGCAGGCACTGCCCCCACTAACACACGCACACACAAAATCTGCCCAGGCCTGGTCCCATCTGGCCATGTCAGAGGAGCCTCTCTGGCTCCCTCTATCAGGACTGACCAGCTGGCCTGACCTGTGTCCCCAGTGCCTGGCCCCCTCGGGCTCTATGTGACTGTGTCTTTGGCCCTGTAGTACCAGGTCTGTCTGACCCCGTGCCTGTCTGAGTCCAGCTGTGTGCCGTGTGGCTGTGATGGGCTGGGGGGTCTGGGTCAGCCAGTTGCCAGCTGCATCAGACTCTGGCTGGCTGAGTTGATTCTGTCAGGCCGAGCCTAGCAAAACCCAATGTCATATCGACTGTGTGTGGCTGCACTCATTCTGCCTGGCTGTGCTGTCAGCATCTGACTGTGGTATGTCTACGTCTGGATCCCTTTTGTTGTAATTGGTTGTGTTGCTACCATTCCCTCCACCCCACAGCACAGAACAGCAAGGGTCGACGGAACCCTCTGTGTACACTCAGCTCGGCCACTTCATTTCATCTCTCAACTTCCTCAGCTACAAAAGGGGTGGGCAGAAGCTGCCTTCCGGGGGGCGCGTGGAGGGTGAAATGCAGTAAGGTGCACTAGGCCCTCAGCCCAGGGTCCATTCCTATGGCAAGCCCACAGCATCCTCAGTCAGCCTGGGCTTCAGAATCCAGGTTGGGAGTGTTCTCTGGAGGATGGGGCCACTGGGAAGAAGGGGCTGCGGCTGCTGTCCTGCCCACGGCCCATTTATCTGGGCTGTAGAAGTGTCCCCAGGGAGGTTATAAGAAGGGTGCATCAGGTGAGCAGCTGCTGCCCAGAGAGGCCTCTTGTAATCAAACACCCTTTCAATCCCGTTACTGCGAGCTCCTAAGTGCTGGACACAGTCTCGGGCACTGAGGACATGGCAGTGGATAAGGCAGACACACTCCCACCCTCTTCCCAATCCTGGAGACGCTGGCCAGACCAGGTTTTCCTTTCCTTGGGGTTCCATCGGACCCGAGTTTACACCTAAGAGTTACTGTTTAGGCTTGACATAGTCCTCAGCACACGGCAAGTGCACACGGGCGGGGGAAGGTCACAGGTCCGGATCGTCAGGGGTGCAGAGCCACAGCGCTTAACCTGAAATCTTGGGACCAGACGTGCTGGAATTCAGAACTTTTCAGGTTTTAGGATAATACCTTGTATTTGCCGGAATTCTGTAAGCCTCCCTTAACAAGGGGCAATACCACCAGCAAACATGTCAGTATTTCTGCAGTGAAATACGTGGATGTTCATATTAGATGGGATTCTTAAAGGATCATCCATAGACTCATGTCAGTTCAGGTCAAGTTTTGCAATGAGTTCTAAGGAACCGTCTGTTTTTAAGGCTTTTATGGTGTTAGGGATAGGGAAAGGTGGATACAGCATGTAGCGATCTAAATCTTCCTCTTCTTTTCCCCTCAGTGACCAAGAGGCGAAGGTACTGGACTACCAGACGCAGCAACAGAAACTCTTTCCTCAGCTGGCCATCAGTTATGCCTTCCATTTCCTGGGGGTCAGCCTCTTGGAGTTCTTCCAGCACTCCTATACTGCCATTCTGAACAGAGACTTCAGCATCCTGCCTGAGGTACCCGCTGTCTGCAGAGGGGCAGGTGCTGGTGGGGCAAGGGGGAGCAGCTAAGATTGTTCCACCCACTGGGGAGCAGCCATAACCCCATCCCCATGGGTACTCCTCACCCCCACCTCTCCCAGCTTCTAGCATCCCAGGGCATCTGGGTGAACAGCACCCTGATAAATAAATTTACCCACAACTGGCGCCCAGAGAGCCACAAACATGCTAAGAGGAAACACTCACACCTAGTATAGAGAACACAGATCCACAACCCCTGATGTGTATTTGAAACCCAAAAAGCCCAGATGAACAGTTGTTTGGAACTCATTTGGTGGCATAGTTGGACCTGAACTGACCTGATTAATCCGTCTGAGTGTGAATACATTTTGCAGTAAAATTATTAATGTGTTTAATCACTAAGGCTACTCCAAACCCCACTGGGGCTATGATATATAATGTACCTTAAACACCACTTGCCTGTCTACAATTCAGAAGTTACTCTGATTCCTAAATACAGCTGGCTCACAGGTCTCCGGTAAAGCACTGTGGACTTACATATGCAGTAAGATTCGGTCTGTCCCGGGAGCATGCTCTGTAAGCACTGTTAACCCTTCCAGCTACAACTGAGGCACAGAGAGGTCAAGGGACACAACGTTCCTCCCAAGGACTTGAAAGTTCCAAAGATAGGTAGGGGCTTCAAGAATCAAAATCTCAAACCAGGCCGCTGCCTGCCAGCCTCTGTCTCTGTTGGGCTGCTGTAACAGAATACCATAAAGCAGTGGTGTATAAAAACTGACCGGGCATGGTGGCTCACACCTGTAATCTCAGCACTTTAGGAGGCCAGGGCAGGGGGATTGCCTCAGCAAGATGGTGAGAACCCCTCTCCACACACACAAAAATTGAAAAATTAGTCAGGTATGGTGGCACACACTTGAAGCCCCAACTACTGCTTAGGAGGCTGCGGTGGGAGGATTCCTGGAGCCCAGGAGTTTGAGAATACACCGAGCTATGACTGCGCCACTGCACTCCAGTCCAGCCTGAGCAACAGAGTGAGACCCTGTCTCCAAAAAAAAAAAAAAAAATATTTCTCACAATTCTGGAGGCTGGGAAGTCCAAGATTGAGGCTCTAGCGCATTTGGTGTCAGGTGAGGGCCTGCTTCTTAGTTCATAGATGGCTGTCTTTTTGCTATGAGCTCATATGGTAGAAGCGGCCTCTTTCATGAGGGCACTGATCCCATTCATGAAGGCTCCACCCTTATGACCTAATCACCTCCCGAAGGCCCCACCTCCTAATACCATCGCGTTGGGGGCTAGGATTTCTACATAAGAATTTTAGGTGGACACATTCAGACCCTATCACCCTCCTGCCATCCATAAATGGGCTGACCGTGGACACCCATCCTCACAGGCCAGCTTTCTAAAACCCATTCCAGCAAAATTCATAACTCCTGGAGGCTTGTGGGCTCAATCCAGGCAGTACCCTCTTCCCAATCCTGGAGACAATGGCCAGGCCAGGTTTTCCTTTGTTCTTTTTTTTTTTTTTTTTTTTTTTTTTTTTTTTTTTTTTTTTTTTTTTTTT